TTTCCAGTCTTTCATTATTTTATATACATTGAACCAAAATACTTATCATGACTGAATTCCCTTTGGGATTACTCTTCCTTGGTCATGGACAGGAGGTCCTGGCTTCTGTTTAAACAGCTGACTAACCTCATCAGGTGGTGGTTTGGCCACATGCTCAATGTTCTTTCCTGAACAGACTTTCTCATTCTTTACAATTTGGAAAGGCTGAGAGTTTTCCAAATCTTTAAGTTCTGCTTCCCCTTTGATTAACAATTTTTATCTTTAAATCACTTTTCTCCTTTGCTGTTTTACTATAAACAGTCAAGAGGAGCCAAGCTGTACCTTCAACATTTTGCTTAGAAATGGCTTTAGCTAAATATCCAATTTCATTACTCACAAGTTCTGCCTTCCACAAAACACTAGGATATGAACACAATTCAGCCAAGTTCTTTGCTGGTTCATAACAGGATTGCCTTTCCTTCAGTTTTCAATACCATGTTCCTCTTGTCTAAGAAATTTTCAGATTGGCCTTTAGCATGCATATTGCCACCAACACTGTTCACTACTGCTTAAGTATTCTCTAAGAGTATTGAGGCTTTCTCTACAGCTCTTCTCCTTTCCTTCTGAGCCCTCACAAAAATCACCCTTAAAGATCCACTTACAGCAATGTAGACTTCTTAAAGCATGTGCCTCAAAACTCTTCCAGCCTCTCTCCATTCTCACTTCCAAACTGCTTCCGTATTTTTGGGTCTTGGTTACAGCAGCACTCCCATCTTGGTACTGATTTTCTGCCATAGTCCATTTGGGCTGCTGTAACAAAATACTATAAACTGGTTGGCTTATAAGCAACATACATGTATTGCTCACAGTTCTGGATACTGGGAATTCCACGATCACTGTGCTGGCAGATTTAGTGTAGGGTGAGGATCCGCTTCCTGGTTCATAGAATGGCACCTTCTCACTGTCTTCACATGGTGGGAGGAACTAGCTAACTCTCTGAGGTTTCCTTGATAAGAGTGCTAATCCTAATCATGAAGACTCTGCTCTCATGACCTAATCGGTTCTCAAAGGCCCCACCTTCTAGTACCATCTCCTTGGGGATTAGAATTTCAACATAAGAATTTTAGGGGAGCATAAACATGCAGACCATAGCAGTGTGTTTGTAATCATTTCTTCATTCACTAATGGTTATTAGGTCAAAATGAATTTGCTTTGGAGAGCTGGAAAAGGTTTGCAAATGAACAAAGAAGAACTCGGTACATAGCTTAAAAAAAAAAAAATCTAAGCATGAAGGGAGAAGGTAAGGAGAAATAAAAATTGGTCTAGCATAAAACTTGGAGAAGAATACTCACTCATAGAGGATCCTTGGCTTTGTGGCAGAGATTATGATGCCAGGCATCTGGAGAAGCAGGATGAAGAAATAGAAGGGCCTTGAGTGTATGTGCCTCACTAGCAGAGGGGACCCAAATAGTCACAATATTGTAAGGTCACATTACTTTTTCTCTGATTTAAGAAAGAAACAATTTGGCTGGGTGCAGTGGCTCACACTTGTAATCCCAGCACTTTGGGAGGCTGAGGTGGGTGGATCACTGGAAGTCAGGAGTTTGAGACCAGCTGGGCCAACATGGAGAAACCCTGCCTCTACTAAAAACACAAAAATTAGCTGGGTGTGGTGGTACATGCCTGTAATCCCAGCTACTTGGGAGGCTGAGGCACGGGAATCGCTTGAAAATGGTAAGCAGAGGATGGGGTGAGCTGAGATTGCGCCACTGTATTCCAGCCTGGGCAACAGAGTAAAACTGTCTCAAAAGACAAAAAATAGAAAAAAAAAACAATTTTAATTGTCAAATAATTAAACTCTCATCATCCAAAGATTACCACTGTTGACATTTGGTGTGTCTTTTCAGCCTTCATTGTTTTATGCACATTGAACAAAAATAGTTTTCATGACTATATTGAAGTACATTCATGCATTTAATCAACACCCTAATATTGGACATTTTGGTTATTTCCTTTTACTATCTTGTCTATTAAATAACACAAACGTGAATAATCTGGCAGGTAGGTGTTCCTGTACTGAGGATTTAGTGATTGGCTTGTAACAGATCCACTACCGTAGACTTTATAGGGTCTCTCAGAGCGTGCATGCTTGAGGTAAGGATTCAAGTGAAAACCATCCTCAGTTTATGCCCAGAACGGGGTCTGCCTGCACATCTGTAATCGCAGTTAGGTGTGATCAGTACAAGTCTGCAAATACCCCAGGATACCTAATCTTCCTTCTTGGAGAACCCAAGTTCTGCTTCCTCTCAACGCGAACCAGATGAATTCTCCAAAGCAGTTATTACTGTTTCTTAATGCAGTTAGTATGGCTGCATAAAATATCTTCCTGAAGTGTGAACTGAGGGAAACAAGGCAAAAGGGAAATCCTGTCAGTTTTACCAATTTTTTTCTTTTCTTTCTTTTTTTTTTTTTTTTTTTTTTTTTTTTTTTTTTTTTTTTCTTTTTTTTTTTTTTTTTTTTTTTTTTTTGAGACAGAGTTTCCCTGTCACCCAGGGTGGAGTGCAGTGGTACAATCTCCGCTCACTGCAACCTCCGCCTCCTGGATTAAAATGATTCTTCTGTCTCAGCCTCCCGGGTAGCTGGGATTGTAGGTGTGTGCTACCGCACCCAGCTAATTTTTGTATTTTTAGTAGAGACGGGGTTTTACCATGTTGGCCAGGCTGGTCTCGAACTCTTGACCTCAGGTGATCTACCTGCCCCCGCCTCCCAAGGTACTAGGATTACAGGTGGGAGCCACCCAACCTGGCCTAATTTACATTTTGAAAGCTAAACCAACAAGCTTCTCTGGGTATAGTTAACCAAGCAGATGGCAAAAGGGAGAAACTTATTTGTGCAGATGATTGTCATGCCAATAAGCCAGCCAAAATTTCTTAGCCTGGCTTCTTGTTGCAGGAGGACAGTTTGAGCGACTGCAGAATAAAAATAAATTCCCTGGTGTGCAGCTCCCTCTTCCCCTCTGAGGGCAGTGCCTGCCACTCTGCTGGCTGCAGTGGGACCCACTACACCCTGATGTTACAGGAGAGAGAAGCTAAGGAGGTGCCTCATGGAATGGGCCTTTCCTGTTTACATTGTGACATGAGCCCTGATAGTCAAATGCTAGATCGAGCTCTTTACCGGCTGATCGGGCAGATCCAGCTTCGTCATTTAGCATTAGTCTGTCCTCTGTGTTTCAAGGGAGCTTTCAGTCTAATAAAATCTTGGCATTATAAGATCCTGAAAACTTACTGCTCTCTCTTGTTTTTCTGTATTTGTATTTGTTTAGTGGTATAAGGCTGAATGAAATTGAATTCACTTCAAATTTTACAGCATGTTTATGAATTCTAGAATCTGTGTTTTAAATTACTGTGCATCTCTTAAAAAAAAAAAAAAAAAAAAAAAAGCAGTGAGGTGAGACCACAGAACCAGGCTTTAAAAATTTGTGTCTGTGTTGTCCACATGTATTGAGTATGCTCTCAGTAGCTTCTAGCTGTATTTAAGAATGATCAACACATCCTTCCCTTACCTGTGGTGTTTGGCCCTGAGCTGTCTCCTCATGCTGCCCTGTGACTGGTTGAGACACGCCACGTGGGAAGGATGGGAGGACACACGTGGGAGGCGGATAATGATAGATTTTAACTACAAAGTATCTAGTGCTCCTTGTCTTCCAGTCACTGTACTTAGTACTTCATATACTTAATCATATTTAATCATAGCAACAATGATTTTCACTTTACATATGAGGACACCCAGACTCCTAAAGGTTCAGTAACTTGCTCAGGATCATGTGGCTGTGTGGTTTGTGGTAGACTTTGATCTTGATCCTCTCTGACTCTAAAGTCCATTTTTTAAAGAAGAAAATTGCATTTAAAACAACATCAAAAAGAAAATAATTAGTAATAACTGTTATCAAAGAGGTGCAAGATTTGTGCATGGAACGTGACACACATTGCTGAAAGAAATTTAAAGAAGACCTGACAAACAGAAAAACAGCCTGAGTTTATGGAGTGACAGACTCAACATTGTTTTCATGACAAAACTACTCAAAAGTGATAAATAAATCACTTTTTTTTGGTTTTGTTTTTTAGAGGGAGTCTCGCTCTGTTGCCCAGGCTGGAGTGCAGTGGCCTGATCTTTGGCTCACTGCAACTTCCGCCTCCCAGGTTCAAGCAATTCTCCTGCCTCAGCCTCCCAAGTAGCTGGGACTACAGGCATGTGCCACCATGCCCAGCCAGTTTTTGTATTTTTAGTAGAGACGGGGTTTCACCATGTTGGCCAGGCTGGTTTCCAACTCCTGACATTGGTGATCCACCCACTTTGGCCTCCCAAAGTGCTGGGATTACAGGTGCGAGCTACCATGCCCCACCTTATTTTACATTTTCTAAAGTCTGTATTCTTAAATACTATGCTTTACTACCTACTAAGCAAGAGACTTGTTCCACATACTGTCTGCCATGTTTCAAAAACAACTTAGGGTGGAATGACACGCCCACACTCATTTTCCCTTGCTATCAGCCTCTGTCTTTCTCTCCCTTTTCTACCAGTCCTGTGCCTCTTTTTGTCTGGGCCCTACTTTTACCAGCCTCAGACATGAGTAGGTGATGGAGGAAGATGGGCAGGGTGGCACCCGTAGCCCAAAGAAACTCCAGATTCCCAGTGGGGAGAATACACCCAGTCCTGCCCTCCCACTTGGGTTTTTCCAGGCTGATTCTTGAGTGGAACGATGACTCCACTGAACCTGTCTTTGGTTCTTGGCACTAGGCTAGTTTGTTGACCCCCCGCTCCCCATTCTTATTTTGAGACAGTGTTCATGCTCAGATATGATTCTTCCACCCAAGAACATTGAGCGTTCCCAAGATAAACGAAACCAACCCTGTCAGCTGATACCACAATAACATTTGCGGGAAGTTTATGAAAAATCTTATCTAGGGGACTGTTTCAGAAATCAAGGCACCATCTAATGACCTCTTTTGTGTCCGCTTTAGATGCAGCAGCAGGAGCGTGAGTCCCTGAAGGCCAGCCTGTGTGTTCTGTCCCTGGGGCTGGGCCGCCTTCTGTTCTGGTGGTGGCTGGCCGAGCTCATGGCTCACCTGATGTACATGCACGCCATCTACAGCAGCATCCCTCTCCTGGAGACTGTCTCTTGCTGGACCTTAGGTAATTGTGGGAATCACCAACAGTGGAACAAGCCCAAACAGCATGAGTGGAGCTGAAGTGGGGGGAAGCAGGGCTGCAGCTGCCTTGAGCAGATCCTCTTTACTGTTTTTTAACCTACTCCTCTTGTGGCCAAGATTACGCATGTGAGAAGTGGCTGACAGGAAGTGAGGGCTGTGCTTGTGGTCTGGGAACCAAGGGCAGTAGCATTCTCCTCTGTAACGGGACTCTGCTGAGCTTAGCTGGGTCGCATCTTCACAGTGTGGCCAGCGTTGTGTTTAGCAGGAGAGGGCAGGAGCTGCTGGGGGCAGCTTTGAGTTCATTCTAAGAGGGAATGCTCCAATATTGAGTTGTTCCACAGTCTTCCTTGTTCTTTGTGCATAAGGTATAAAAGAATCTGAGGCTGGGCCCGGTGGCTCACACCTGTAATCCCAGCACTTTTGGAGGCTGAAGTGAGTGGATCATTTGAGGTCAGGAGTTTGAGACTAGCTTGCCAAGATGGTGAAATCATGTCTCTACTAAAAATTCAAAACATAGTGGGTGTGGTGGTGGGTGCCTGTAATCCCAGCTACTGGAGAGGCTGAGGCAGGAGAATCATTTGAATCTGGGAGGAAGAGGTTGCAGTGAGCCAAGATCATGGCACCATATTCCAGTCTCGGTGACAAAGCGTGACACTGTCTCAAAAACAGAATATGAGTTTTAGGATCACACAGCTGTAAGTTTGAGTTTCAGCCTCACCAATGACTGGGTGGGTAACCTTGGCAGTTTACTTAACCTCTGAGTTCCAGCACCTTCATCAGTAAAATAGGGAGACTTAGCTTTGTGGATCTATCTTGAGGATGATACTAAGCACCGCACATTGAGGGTGTACCTCGTTAAGTTTCTAGCAGATAGCATAAATGGCATGTGTCTATTTCCCTCTGTAGATCTCATTTTCTTATCTATCCTTTCCAGTGTGTCTGCCAAGGTGGTGGCATGGAAATCTTACTTCCTCAGCTGGGCTGGTCTCCAGCATAGGATTTGTCCATGGAGAAACCACTGTTATTTATTCCTCTGGCCAAAACAGCAGAGCCCACGTGCCTTTCTGAATAAAATATCTTCACTTCCTTCTTTCTTGTTTCGAGGACTCCTGCAGTGGCTGAATTCTGCCTGTGCTTTGACCTCCAGCCTGTAGCTCCAATAACTGTGTGATTCTCCAGGCAGATCAAACTGTTCCCTGCTGAGGGCAAGAGTACAAGCCCGACTTGCTCCTTATCTGTTTGATGTTTTATAGATCTTCAATCTTGATTGTTCTTGGTATCACATATGCTTAATCTGAACATTTCCAGGGAAGAAACATTTTAGGACTGAAAAAACGCTAAGCTATTTTAATGAGTCTCTTTAAAATAGCTTAGCATTTAAGTCACTTTCTTCCAAACAATTTTTTTAATAGTTTGGGGTTGCTAATATTATAAGGTTTTATTGATACAATTAGACAAATGGAATAGGATTAAATGATAGCTTATACTAAGTCAGATCCCAGTGGCACAGGATGCAAACTTATAGGCTGTTTCAGCTTGAGGGTTTTTAAACTAAAAGTAATGGAAGACACAACTCAAAATGGGGCTTAAACAATAGGAAAAGTTATTCCATATAACAGTGATACCTAAGATCAGCACTAGGGCTGGTAAATTATGTGACTCCGATGCCACCAACGTACCTTTTGTGTGTCTACCATTCAGCTTAAGAACTAACCAGAATCGTAGAAGCCCTTAGTTTGTATTCCTCATCCCGTCAGCCTCTGTCACTTTCAAGATAACCTGAATATTGTATTTATTCTTTTCTTCTTTTTCATTGTACTTTTACCACAGTTAAATCCTTAAAGTTGCTTATTCTGACACCTCTTCATATGAATAGATTCACACTTGGTATGTTCTTCTGTGACTTGATTTTCTTGTTTAACATTATGTTTTTGGGAAGCATTCATGTTAATACATGTAACTAGGTACCACTCTTTTTCACCTCTGTATAGCATTCCAGTGTATCCATACACAAGAAGTTATTTGTCCATTCTACATCTAGGAGGACATTTGAGTTTTTTTTACAGGGTTTTGCTATTCCACATAATGCCATTTCTGTGTCTGTTAGAGCTCATGTGTAAGAGTTTCCCCATAGGGCAGTAACTTTGAAACTCTTTGGCACGTTACCCACAGTAAGAAATGCATTTTGCATTATAAGTGTGTGGATGAGTGTGTGTGTGTGTGTGTGTGTGTGTGTAAACTCTCACAAAGCAATACTTTACCTTGAACCACCTGCAATGTATACTGGTATTTTCCGTTCCATATTGTTCTATTTTAAAATACTGATTAGAAATCAGTGAATTGGGTGAGTCACTGTCTAGAGTTTGTCAAGCATTACTAAAATATATATCTAGAAATAAATATTGTGGGTAGCATATATGTTCAGATTTACAAGATAAATTATTTTTTAAATTGGCTAAGCCAATTTATGCTCGTCTCGGCAGTGCATGAGAGTTTCCTTTGCTTAAAATTCTTACCAACACTTGATACTACTCAAGGCAATTTATAGCTTTAATACAATTCCTATCAAAATACCAGTGTCATTCTTCACAGAAATAAAAAAAAATTGTAAAATTTGTGTGGAACCACAAAAGATTCTGAATAGCCGAAGCAATCCTGAGCAAAAAAAACAAAGCTGGAATCAGAACACTGCCAGAACTCAAAATACACTACAAAGCTGTAGTAACCAAAACAGCATGGTACTGGCATAAAAGCAGACATGTAGATCAATATAAAATAATAGATAACTCAGAAGTTAATTCATATATCTTTTAATTTTGAAAATCTGGTGGATGTGAATTTTATCTAATGGTTTTAATTTGCCTTTCTTTGATTGCTAATAAATTTGATTATCTTTTCATACGTTTAAAGGACTTTGGGGTATTGTTTCTTATTTATTTATTTTTGAGACACTCCCACTCTGTTGCCCAGGCTGGAGTGCAGTGAGGCAGTCTTGGCTCACTACAACCTCTGCCTCCTGAGTTGAAGCAATTCTTGTGCCTCAGCCTCCCAAGTAGCTGGGATTACAAGCATGCACTACCATGCCCAGCTAAGTTTTGTATTTTTAGTAGATATGGTGTTTCACCATGTTGGCCAGGCTGGTCTTGAACTTCTGACCTCAAGTGATCCACCTGCCTCAGCCTCCCAAAGTGCTGGGATTACAGCTATGAGCCACCGTGCCTGACCTGGTATATCATTTCTAATGAAATAACTGTTGATAACTTTTGACCATTTTTCTAATGGGATTTCTGTCTTTTTCTTAAGGAATCATAAAATTTATTCTATATTATCATTTTGAAAAGTTATACATGCAGTTAGATGCAAATACTGATATCTTTTGCTTTGTGGTTTGACTTCTAATGTTTTTATGTTGTCTTTTGATGAACAGACTTTAATGTAGTTGCATTTATACATTTTTATCATTTTTACTTTTTTGGGTCTTTAAAAAATAATTATCTCCCCCAAGATCATAAAAATATTCTCCTCTGTTTTCTCCTAAAGCTTTTAGAGTTAATAAAATCTTTGGTTATTATGTACATTTGCATCATAGACAATGATAAAATAGAAACCATCTAAAAATTTTTTAAAATTGACTAATAATTGTACATACTCATGGGGTACATAGTGATGTTTTGCTACATACAATGTATGGTGATCAGATCAGGGTAATTAGCATATCCATCATCACAAACATTTATCATTTCTTTGTGTTGGGAACATTCGGTATTTTTCTTCTAGGTATTTGAAACTATGTAATTAATTATTGTTAACTCTTGTCATCCTACAGTGCATAGAACACTAGAACTCACTCCTTCTACCTAGTGTTATTTTGTATCTTTTAACAAATATCCTCCATCCCTCCCTTTCCAGCTTCTAGTGTTTTCTCTTGTGTTTTTCACTTCTATATGAACACTTGTTAGCTTTCACCTATGAGTGAGAACATGTGGTATTAACTTTCTGTTCTTAGCTTATTAACTTAACAGAATGTTCTTTAGTTCCGTCTTTGTTGCCTCAAATGACAAAACTTCATTCTTTTTTATGGCACCATGGTATTCCATGGTGTATAAATACCACATTCTTTTTTTGTTTTTGTTTTTTGAGAGGGAGTCTTGCTCTTTCACCCAAGCTGGAGTGCAGTGGCACAATCTCAGTTCACTGCCGCCTCCATCTCCTGGTTTCAAGCAATTCTCCTGCCTCAGCCTCCTGAGTAGGTGGGATTGCAGGTGCCCACCACCAAACCCGGCTAATTTTTGTGTTTTTTTGTAAAGATGGAGTTTTACCATGTTGGCCAGGCTGGTCTCAAACTGCTGACCTCAAGTGACTCACCCACCTCGGCCTCCCAAAGTGCTGTGATTACAGGCATGAGCCACTGTGCCTGGCCTTAAATACCACATTTCCTTTATCCATTTATCTGTTATTGAACACCTAGGTTGATTACATATCTTGGCTATTGTGAATAGTGCTACAGTGAACATGGGGTACAGATGTCTCTTCACTATAATGATCTCCTTTTTGTTGTATACATTTACAGTAGGTAGGATTGCTGGATTGTATGGTAGTTGCATTTATGTTTTTTTGAGGGATTTCCATACTGTTCCCCATAGTGGCTATACTAGTTTGCATCCCCACCAACAATGTGTAAGAGTTTTCACTTTTCTCTGCATCCTCTATTTTTTTTTTTTTTTTTTCTTTTTTGATAATAGTCATCCTAACTGGGGTGAGATGATATCTCATTGCGGTTTTGATTTGCATTTCTCTGATTAGTGATGTTGAGTTTTTTTTTTTTCATATATTTATTGACCATTTCTCTTGAGAAAATGTCTGTTCAGATCATTAGCCCATTTTTAAATCAGATTGTTTTGTTTGCTATTGAGATGTCTGAGTTCCTTGTATATTTTGGATATTAATTACCTGTTGGATAAGTAGTTTGCGGATATGTTCTCC